AAAAAATCCCAAACCCCTAGGAGACCCATTATGGTAGAAGATGGAAAGTCATACCATTGACCATCTAGCTCAGTATTGTCTGCTCTGGCTGGCAGAAGTTCACCAGGATTTTAGGCACAAGATCTTTCCCAGTCTAACCTGGAGATGCCAACTGCATCACAGGATATCTCCTAAAATGGCTTTGTTAACTTCCGCCATTGTTGGTTTGTTTGGTAGCTTTTGGGAGGATTTGGGAAGCTGCTACCTCAGGGACAGAACACTCCGCCTGAGTCTAAAATCCCCAGTAAAAGGAGGAGTTAAAGGCTTCCTTTTTAATGGAAGTGGGACCCTGGTGTGCAAGAGGGTAAAAACAGGCAGTGGTCTATGTGGTGGTGGAGAGAATATGCTATTTCTTGTTACCTCCATAGTCCGTTCATTCTATCCTACCTGTTAGTCTGCATTGCTATTGCCTTCTTTTCCGCGAGACTTAAAAGTTCTCCGGGTTGTGTTTTTGCAGGGTAAGGCTAGCTGCCTGCTTGCTTCCATTCCTGCTGACCTCAATCAGCCTTCCAGAACCAGAGAGGGGTGAAGGCGACCCCCATCAGTTGGGGTTGGCTGGTCAGGAGCCAGGGAGCTGATCCTATTAACCCTTTGCAGGCTCAGAGTCAGCCCAACGTCCACACAACTTCTGCTTGAGATACACACACACACACACACGCTCATGGATGACGCTGAGGCAGCTCTTTTGCAAAAGTGGGAAAGGAGAGGAAATCAAAGGGTTTGGTGATGAGAAATGAAGAGGAAATGACAAATCCGCAAGGATCAAAGGTTAGGAAAATGTTCTGGAAATGCCCCGTGACAGGCTGCCATCTTTAATAAATCTCTCTCCCAGGTCCTTCAGCCACAGGCTCACCTGTTATGTTTGCTGACTTTTAGCAGCGCATTTGCCAGGAGAGAATTCTCTGGAGCTGCGGTGGCCAGAGCAACAGAAAGATAAGGAGGGCTTTGGGGGATTCCTTCAAAGGCCCCCTTCCCTTGGAACCACCGAATGCCATTTTCCGTGGGCTCTTAAACAGAATAATTCATTAGTCAGCACAGAACAATCGATAGCACGCTCTGACAATTTACACATTGGCTCTGTTTACCCAGTGGACCCTCTTTGATAATATTATTTATGTTTTGAAATAACTCCATCGGTGTTCAATAGCGCCACGAGGAGCCTCTGGGATTAGGGCACAATCAAATTATGAAGACATATAGTTTGCTCAGCACGGCGAGGGCACGGATGCCGCGGTGCATGGTGGTTAGGCTTGCAGCGGGCCCCTTTCCCCCAATCATTTATACAACCTTCTTAATAGCATTTACAGTGCAAGGGAGGAAGTATCCTCGGGAAGACTGGCCTCTTACTCAGCCAAGTGAGACACAGCTGTAAAGGGAGTTTGATTGCGGCTGTTGCGGGAGCTTTAGAACAGAACAATTCATCGCGTCTCTGGCTGGAGCGCCAATTAAGCTCTTCCGTCGCCTGGCATCCTGGAGGGATGGGCTGAGGAACTGCATCCCCCTTTGAGAAAGATGGGGCTGCTGCTGCTGCTCAAGGAATGCCCAGCTGATGGCCACAGAAATGCCCAAGAGAGGGCATCTTCTCTTCACCTACAGGAGAACGGAGGATATGCACAAGCTGCTTGCCAGCTTCACACCTCCTTGCACTTTGTTTAATGCACCCTGTGTGCGTGCCTCGTGCGCATCTCCCGAAATATCCACAGACAGCCAATTATTGGGAGACACGATTATCGACAGAGCATTTGAGGCAGAGCATATTATAGGATGCATAATGAGAATAATGACTCACATCCTACAGAGAAGTCGTTAATACAATGAATAGGAAAGTGTGTGTGTGTGTGTGTAAAACACCACTAAAATCCAAAGCATCACACTGAAAAACACTTGAAATATTACCGTATTTTTTCGTGCATAACACGCCCCCATGTGTAAGACGCACCCTATTTTGGGGGACTAAAAATTAAGAAAATTTGGGGGGGTGCCGACAATCGCTCACCTGACTTTACCAATCCAAGCATTGCGGAAGCCAACAATCTTCTGCCTGATCACCGCCAGCCGCCGCCATTAGCCCTCCCATTTGCCGCAACAGCAGCCAATCAACAGCAGCCCTTGCCGCAGCCACCAATCACCCGCAGAGTCACTGCTGATGTTCTAATACTCGCGCCAGCAACGAATCCCCCATCCCCACTCTGTACTACCCATGTATAAGATGAGCCCAGTTTTTTTACATTGTTTCCTCCGTGAAAAACCTTGTCTTATAAACAGAAAAGTACGGTATTTAATGTCCTAAGTGTGATGCACAAATGATGCTCTCTCCATGTTCAGTAGTCTTAGGGCCTGATTGCACGTAACATGAACAATACATTTTTTTTAAAAAAACCATGGTGTGTGTGTGTGTGTGTGTGTGTGTGTGTGTGTGCTTTAAAAATTAAACAGCATTTGTGTGTATTTGATGTGTGTGTGTGAGCACAGTAGCATGCAGAGAGGGGGATGAGTTTATGTTGTCCCCTCCCTAGCTGAGATCTCAGTAGAAATCTCACTCACCCACTAAGCAGCAATTAGCATTACGCAAGTGGGGAGCTCCTGTTGGCACCAATGGTTGCAGTGCGGGGGAGGGGCATGAATTTTATACTGCATCTTTTCCCACCTTGCAACTTTAAAAGCCCCCCAGTGACAATTGTCTCTCCCCACCCCCATTTCCAGGTCTGGCATTTATTTTTTCAAAAACTCATAATGTGATTTCTCATCACACCATGAATGTAAGGCATGGTTGAGCTTTCACAGTCTATATTAGATAGAGAAGATCTGGACTGGAGTTGCAGGGTTGGGGTCATCAATTAGGAATGGAGGAATAAGTTCTGTGGAAGGTCAGGAAGGTCTTTGCTGAAGACAGCTTTTACTGCGATAGGCTAACATTAGCAATAGACGATCTCCTCTGGAGGTTTTTGCTAAAATGACAGTACCAGAGTCTTCTCGGGTCTCCCATTGCCACACCTTGTCCCTTTGCATCTGTGCAGCCCCTTGTCAACATCACTCATCATCACTCTGTTCATGGGATCAGGGGAGTAGAAGGGCCCAGGACTTTAAAAATATGGACTAGAACCTTGAAACAGCGTGAGACCAACATGCTCTTGTTCTGTCCCAGCACTCATTCATTATTATGCATAAAAGAGTTCCAGGTGGACCAATCCCTGGCAGACAGGCTCCTGGGTTCTTCCCGAAGGAGCTCCCCATTGCTCCTCCCTGCTTGGGTGTTGCTTCCATCCCTTCCACATGGTCTGCAGTGCTTCTGTCCCTTTGCAAACTTGGCAGTCAGCCTGACTGGGCAATGCTATTCAAATCCTCTGGGCACTGGTGTTTGCTAAGCTCCCTTCTTGACTAAATTTGCAGAGTAAACATTTTGGGGCATGGCGGATCGATGGACAAAAAAAAAAGCTAAATAAATAATAAGGCAACAAAAAGCCTTTTGCTGTCTTCCCTCCCTCCCCCGCCCCCCAGCATTTTCCTGATGGTTTCAGATCCCCTGGTATTAAGCTTTCCTGATGACAGAATGCAGTCTAATAAATTCAGTAGCTGCTGCTTGCTCTTCAGCCGCCACCAGGGCCAAACTCCTTACCAAGTCCAAACCTTTATTTATATCCAGATGGTTTCTAGTGCGGCTGCACAGAGCCCCCGCCACCCCCACCGAGCCATTGGGAGTCATGAGGCTCAAAACAAAATTGAAATAATTAAAAATAAATTGAATCCAGTTAAATCAATTGAACACACTGGATTCTTTGACTGTTTGGATCAGTTCTAGTTATAAAGTCATTAACGCCACAACTGAAAGGAACCCATTAACTACCTGAAGTTGTCTTTTTGCCATTTGTAATAGGAGCTAGAAGTTAAAGCTAGTTGTGTGTTCGGTTCTCCCTCTTCCCTAGGGAAGAACTCCTACAGTCAGTGGCATGGTCACCTCTGGTGGCTTGCAGGTTCTTTATCCCTCTTTTAATTGATTTAACTTGGTCTGCTTTTAGGCTTAATCGGCTGCTTTTACCTTTTTTTATTATTGTATTAGCTTTAAATGGTACATGTCCTGAAATCCGATAGGATGAAGAGCGGCATATAATTGTTTTAATAAATCAATACATCTCTGAGTGAGTGAGTTTGCAATACACACCCCTTTTCTTCTGGTGCACATCAAAGTAAACACCTGTGCATGAACCCTAAAGCACCACGCACCACACAGCTTGCCGTTTCCAACCCTGTAGCTGCTGAGAACACATTGTGCAAGGTTTAGCCTTTTACTTGCACATCTTTTCCCCAAAGGATAAACAACTTTGTGGCTTCTGAATCAGCCACTGTCAAGTGCATGAAAATAGCATGCAACATCTGAAGAGGAGCAACAGTGTGGGTGGGGAGCTCAGGCACTCAACAGCTTTCCTATTGAAACTGGGTTCTTATAAGATGAGCTTGTTTTCTTCTGTGAGGTGGTAGGAAGTATACCCTTTTACCTAAAATTATCATAACCCTCCTAATTATGCTCCTCTTTCCCAGGTCTCCATGATGTAGCTATTTCCTGCCCCCTCCCAAAACAAATGGGTATGGGGGTCTTAATTATGGTTTCTCCTCCTACTAATGCAAAGCTAATGCTATTTTAGGCTGCATCAACAGAAGTATAGTGTCCAGATTAAGGGAAGTAATAGTCCCATTATATTCTGCCTTGGTCAGACCACACCTGGAGTACTGTGTCCAGTTCTGGTCACCACAATGTAAGAAGGATATTCATAAGCTGGAACATGTGCAGAGGAGGGCAACCAAGATGATCAAGAATCTGGAAACCAAGCCTTATGAAATTGAGGGAGTTGGGTATGTTGAGCCTCAGAGGAGACTGAGAGGTGAGGTAGTAGGCATCTTCAAATACCTGTCTCATGAGAGGGCACTTCCTTCTCTCTCTCCCTGCGGCCTGCAGCGGTAACAAGATGGCCAAACGAACCAAGAAGGTTGGGATTGTGGGTAAATATGTTACCCGATATGGAGCTTCCCTGAGGAAAATGGTGAAGAAGATTGAAATTAGCCAGCATGCTAAATATACTTGCTCCTTCTGTGGCAAGACCAAAATGAAGAGGAAAGCTGTGGGTATCTGGCACTGTGGCTCTTGTATGAAAACAGTAGCTGGTGGCGCCTGGACATACAACACCACTTCAGCAGTGACAGTGAAATCTGCCATCAGAAGACTGATGGAGTTAAAAGACCAGTAGAAGCATATTTTTGTTCCACTGTTGCTCTTCCTTCATGTCCTTATTGTCAATTAAAGGTGGTTGTGAACATTGAAAAAATAATAATACCTGTCTCATAGCAGTTGGGGCAAACTTGTTTTCTTCTGTTCCAGAGGGTAGGACCCAAACAAATGGGTTCAAATTACAAAAAGAAGAAGAAGTATATTCTGCCTAAACATCAGGAATAACTTTCTGAGGGCAAGAGCTGTGCAACAGTGGAACAGACTACCTTGGAAGGTGGTGAAGTCTCCTTCATTGGATGTTTTCCAGCAGAGGTTGGGAGGCCATCTATCCCAGTATAACTGAAGGAGCATCTCCACCCCTATCGTTCTGCCTGGATGCTGAGGTCCAGCAATTATTATCATTATTATCTACTCTTTAGCTGTGATTCCTGCATTGTCAGGATGACCCTTGATGTCCCCTCCAACTCTACAGTTCTATGATTCACCTCAAGCCTGACCTCCCTCCCACGTACTCAATGCATTGGACTATCCCCTCCTGCTACCCCCTTACTGGAAAGAATGTGAAAAATGTCATTGTCTACCTTCTCACTTTTCCTTGAAAGATGGCTCAGCTATTGTTGAGGTGCACAAAGCTGCTGCAGACTGAGAGTGCCAGAGAAAGTGAAGGGGGTGGGGCACTGGAAGCAGAACAGCAAAAGAGCTTCCAACCCCACAAGATTACAAGAGGACAGGGGAGATCCTCTCTAAATACATGGCAAATGTCCCACAGAGAGATAATTTGCCCTGGAAGGTGCCTGGAAACAAAGCCTAGCAGGGAAGCTGGACCCTACACAGGAAGCTGCCTTATACTGAGTTAGACAATTGGCCCATCTAGTTTAGTATTTTCTACACTGACAGGCAGCAGTGGCTCTCCAGGGTTTCAGGCCAGGAGTTTTCTCAGCCCTATTTGGAGACACCAGGGATTGAACCTGGGACCTTCTGCTTGCAAGGCAGGTGCTCTGCCGTTGAGCCACTACCATTCCCCCTGGTAGAAACCTTGTCAAAATCAAAACAGAACTAACAATGTGAATATGAGCTGATAAAGGAGGGTGGAATACAGTGGGAAATAAAAAGGCTAGATGAAAGGCTGGGTGCTGCTGGTCTAATGTTGAGTAGATCCAGTTGAAAGCGGGTCTTGTTACTTACAATTAATCTCACAGATGACTAGCTAGGAACATGGTGGTTTCCCAAGTAACATAACCTTCCTGAGGAAGCTTCAATTTGGGATTTTAATAGTGGAGGAGACACAACAAAGGAAGAGAGATGGAGAGGATGAGAGAAGGGTCTCAAGGGATGGGGGCAAGCAAGCAAATGCCACTGGCAGAATTTAGGCTTTGTTTCAGGTGGACCTGAGGACCGACAAGTTGTGTCAAAAGCTTCAAAGAAAAAGAGAGTTTTGAGGAGTAATTTGAAGGCAAACATGGCAGCCCTGGTGTGTTCAGCCATGGGGTGGTGTGTTGGCAGCTAGAGAGAATAGCCAGGATTACAACAAATTGGATATGAAGACCACTGTGTTATTACTTTAGCAAATGGATTAATTGGTCCTCTGCGCACTCCTCCCAAATTATCCTCTGGTGCCCCCACCTCCCTTTTTCTGTAAGGAAACCTTTGCCAACATTGCCCCCTCCAGATATTTTGAATTATGTCTCCCATCAGCCCCCAACCAGCCCTAGATTGACTGTGAGGCATCATGAATGGCCAGGACTGGACACCAGGACTGCTCTACAGGGCAATTCACTGCTCTGATTTACTCATTCAGAATGCAACCAATTGCCAGATTTCTGGCAAGAAAGGAGCATTTATCGAGATCAGATGGGCAAGCATGGAGAGCAGATTCCCACCCCCACCCCTTGGTTCTGTCTGGGCTAGGGAGATGCCTGCAAGCAGCCAACTGCAGGAAATGGCTGGTAGGTGAGCCACAGTGGCTGCACACATCCCTTACTCCTTGCTCTTGGCTCAGCCTGGTTGCCCTAGCCAGCTATCTCCTTGCCTTAAGCAAACTGCACTGGGTTCCTGTGCACAGGCTTGGTTGCTGAAACCCCCTGGGCAACAGAGTGCTCCATCCCTCCCTTTTAATACCCTCTGCCTCTTAAATGGCACTGAATCTAACTGAGTGGTGGATAAACATTAGTTTCACAGCTCACAAAGCAGAACTGCTGGCTACTGGCAGGCTGGCTGTAATGAGTTCTTCTCTGGACCCCTGGGAACATTTAGATTGGGTTCTTCTCTCTCCCCACCCCCAGCTGCCAGTCAAAGTGCTGGGGGCGGTGGGGAAGGAGGAAGAAGGAAGGAACACGCGTAATCCGTTCCCTGCCAGATCAAGCATAGCACCAGTTCTCCTGAGCGAGTGCGCTTGATGCCATTGAGTCATCCTGACATCATATGGAGAGGTGTGCAGGAGGTCACATGGTGCTCACCCACCCGAATGCTGCGCCGGAGCCAACCTGTGTGGCTCCCTGCCCTCATGTCCTTCTGCACACAGCCTTTCTAGGCCAAGGGTCTTGGCTAGAGACACAGAGAAAATTAGCAGGAAGGAAGGAAAGCATCTGTGCCCTTTGCTTTTCCACCTGTACCGGGGGCTGCAGCTACCTCCCTTTCCAAGCACTTGGTAATTGATAGCAGATTGTTTTCCCAGGGTGCATGTGGAAATATGATGGAACCCTAGAAGTGTTGGTGGGAACCCAGTGGGCAATCTAGCATGCGCGCGCACGCACACACACACACACACACAAACACACACACAGATGTACCTAGCACCTGCAGCATCCTAGACAGGTGTTCTGAAAGCTACCTGTATTTGGCCAACCTGGCCTTGGAGGTCACAAAGCTAAGAAGCTCCACAGCTCCCCTGGACAGCCAGCATTGCTGCATTACTCTGATTATTGGGAAGGTTTTTTAAAAAAACAAGCAGTGTTTTGATTTCACTCCTCTGATTTATATGCCCACACAGAACTTGGTGCTGAAGAGGTTTTTGTTGCATGGGGGCGGGGTCTCCTCTGCTTCTATTCTGGGATGGGGGGAAGTGCAAGTAAATGTGTAAACTGTGTAAAAAGAGTCAAGAACTGCCTGGTTCACTTCTATGATTTGACTCTCTGTTTTCAATCTCCCTGCCTGAATACACAGAGTTTTCTCCCTCCTCCCCACCTTGTCATTTTCTTTGGCCAAGCTCAAGAAAGATTCCACCAAAGCTCTCTCCAAACCTTCCTGCCAGCTGATCTGAACAAATTCAGGAAGTCTTCCAGTCAGGACTGGTGGCATGGGTGCCACCACCTTTTCTTTTAGTCTTTAAACTTTATTTTCCTGTTTCTGAAAATACATAAGAGGAAAATTGCAGGCATACCACCATCTTTTCTTGATCTCTTTTCACCAGGCTCTGAGCCTGCCATTTTGCAATTGGTAATTACATATAGGAACATAGGAAGCAGCCTTATTTGAGTCAGACTATTGGTCCATCTAGCGCAGTATTGCCTACACTGACTGGCAGGGGCTCTTCAGGGTTTCAGGCAGGTCTCTCCAAGCTGCACCTAGACATATCATTGGGGGTTGAACCTGAACGCAAATCAGATGCTCTTTCACTGAGCCACAGCCTTTTGTCACAAGTCATTACTGGATATGCCTTCTAGAGTCACAAAGAAGAATTTGAGGTGGTTCTGCCTGTGTCATCATAGCCCCACCAGGAGCCTTATGGGACCTAGCAGGTTTAATATTATCAGAAACCCAACTGAATAGTAATAGCTAGGAGGGTGAGCGAATAAGGACAATTCCCCTGGCTGTGTCACTCTTAACATGCAGTGCTGAAGTCCTGATCTCTGTTGCCATCGAAGAGTCGCTATTCTAACCAAATAATAAATGTGTAATGATCACTGATGGATTAAGATGTGTATTCATGAATCTTAATTTCTCTCTCGCACACCCGCTCTCTTTCTCTTTCTATGGCTACAATTCCCACAAGTGACAGAAACTTCGCAGATGTTCATTTTATTAACGTTCTCACTTGATGAGCTCCTTGTTCCAGTCCCTGCCTCTGCACAAATACTATCGCCCTCACCCAGAAACAAATGTATTTTCACTGGTGTTCTGCACAGCTATAGGTAAGTACGTCACACACACACACACACACACACACACACACACACACACACACATTCACAGAGTCCTAATTTAAGCTGGTCCATTCAACACATGGGCTGGCAGCTCTTATTTCTGTGATCTGGGGACTAGAAGTATGTTGTGTTGTGTTGTTATGTTACTGTTCATTTATATGTCGCCTTTAAGCCCAAAAGGCTCCCAAGGTGGCTCACAATGAATAAACAGATATACGTAAATACAAAATAATGCAAGAATGAGCAATACAAAAGGCCCAAATTCAAACAAAAGTTGCAAATTCAAACCATATCAACAGTAACAAAAAAACAAACCAGCAGTTGCAGGAGGGGGACTTTCAGGTGAACCCCTTCCCCCCCAAAACCCCCACAAATAAACCAAAAGATCAGATGCATATGCTGCAGCATATTACTATCATAATCACCGTATTCCTCTTTGGTTTATAGGCAGCATCCCAGTCACACATTGACCAGATCTAGAACAGCTTTGCTTTTGTAAGGTTGCTGCACCAGCTTTCTCCAGATAGGGGACTATCTGTGTGGGAGCTATGGGTGCATTGGCAACTTTGAGGTCTTTACCTGGTGCCCACAAACCCTTTGAATGACCCCTCACTCAGTGAGGTGGCGTAGTGGATAGCTTTCTCTCCCTTGAAAAGTACATAGAGCTGAAGGAGGAAGTTGGAGAAGGGGTGCTGTTTGTCACTTCCTCTTTCAACTCTATGTGGCTCAGATTAATTCAGGGCTCAGACTGGGGCGTGCAAGTGGCAATGAGCACTTGTTCATAAATAATGGAGTCTGGTCCATTAGGGCAAATAGGATACTGCCCCACCAACATCAGTCTGTCCTCAGCCAGTTCCCACCTGGATCTGATTCAGACAGGCTTGAATCCCCAGCCCCCAATTATCATGTGTTTGCCTACAAAGATCTGGATTGTGTAGACTGAGCGTGATCCTGCTTAACCTTCTGTCAAATTCTGACCTAGAGCTAGATCTCACTGGCTTGCTTCAGCCACTGTGGAGCAAAGAGAGGTTTGTACCACCAGATCTCAAGAAGCAACCTATGCTGGACAAATGGGGCAGAAGTACCATGGGGCTATATTAGGACATGTCATGTCCTTAGAGAAGAGAGCAGCCACTCCTTCTGTATCACAAGAATGGCAATTGGTAACTCACTGGTAAAGTCTTGTTTTAAGGCAGAGAACTGGTAGCCCTCTGGGTGTTGTTGGACTACAAATCCCATCAGCCTCAGCCAGCATGGCCAATGTTCAGGGATGATGGGAGTTATAATTCACACCATCTGCAGGGCACCATGTTGGCTACCCCTGTGTTAATGGCTTCACAATATGAGGAAAAAAGTGTAGCCACCACTAGCTCATTTTAATTTAATAGCATTATTATTACTGCTACTACAGAGCACCCTGCAAATTAAGAAGTGCTCATTTCCTGCATTAAATGCCTCTTCCCCACCCCACCGTATGTTTCGGGGGGTTGATACCCAATGGAAGAAGAAGGTGAAATGTCCCCCAGTCCTCTCTGTGGCAGGGAAAACTCAAGGGCCACTTAGCATAACATATACATGGTAATTACATTGTTGGCCTCTTAGCACTTCCTTTGAAGATACTAACAGCCATTAGCTCCCTGCCGAGTCCCATTGCTCTGGTTGGCAGGCAGGCAGGCAGCCAAAAGGCTTCTCCAGGTCAGCTTGGACTTCCTGCTGCCGCCTTCATAATTTGAAAGTTTTGATCAAGCAGGTAATGAGCAATGAAAAGAAGCCTTTATGGGAAAAGAAGATGGGTGGGTTTCGGGAGGTGGGGGAGAGGGAGGAAGTATCCCACATGATGGCCATGTTCTGCCTCCACAGTCAGAGGCAGTAAT